AGGACTAGTTGACGCTTCGCGTATCCCCACCAGTCATCTTGAACGCTCCGACTACCAGAACCCCCCCCCATCCAGGTCCAGGGGAGGGGGTAGGGGGAAGGGTCAGGCTACCTACCCGCCCGCAAGCCGTCTAGCTGCTAGCTCACTCCCACCCGCCCTCCCAACACATAAGTAACACCCGAACCTGAGCATGGTCAGCGCTCGTCTTTGGATGGACAGCTACTGGGGACCAAAGCCGACCCCAGGTGCGCGACGCTTGGGCGAGGTGCGCCACGCCAGATGCGCCACGTGCTCCGAGTGCGCCAGGTGTGCCGCACATTCCAGCCGCGCCAGGTGCGCCGCGTTCGGGGCACGTGCAGAGTGCGTCAGGTGCGCCTGCGCACGTGACAGCACACATCGGGAAACATGACTGCCCCCGCCATCCTTGTCGAAAACCGATGCCCATCATTGTGTCTGGCGGGCTTGCGCACAGCACGCCAAGCGCCACCACCCCCGCCGCCCCTGACAAAAAACACTTGACAGTGATCGCGGGATGGCCGCGCATGATCCAGATTTAGCCGCGAGGTGCCTGTTGCATTGTTTTTTGTCCGGATGGTAGCCCTGCGCACAGCTGGGAATATGTTGACACCCCCGCCGTCCTTGCCAACAACAAAACAAAGTGCTCGCGGGTCTCACGAGAAATGACTTTAGACTTTGCCCCAAATTGTACTTGACATTGTTTTTTGACAGGGATGGTGTGGGGAGGCCGCATCGGGTTGGCCGCGCATGCTTCAAATGTGAGGCAGAGTGCGTTTTGTATTGTTTTTTCATAGGGATGGTGGGGGGCGGGCCGGCATGGTGTCGGCATGGTTTCGGGTCGGCTCCCGGTCTCTTGGGTGAGGGGGTGTATATCCAATGAGGGACAGTGATGAAACCCTCCCCGAAGGAGAAGAAAGGGGTTGGAAGAGGAGCCTCCCTAGACCACCTACGCCCTAAAGGGCTGGTGGGATTCGACAAGCGCGTCCCACTACACTCGCAAAGTAGCTGCTCGCAGAATGGCCTGGATCCGCCGCGGGTGAATTACGATCCAATGCGTCGAGGCAGCTGTGTGTTTGTCGGACGTTTGCGGGTAGGCAATTTGCAAGCAGTGGAACGCGCTTTTCTAAGGAAACCTGGCATGCACGAACATCTGATGTACGCGCTGGTGTCTCGGATCGGTGCTGGAGCGCCCTGGCGCCGCCCCTGGCGCGTCTCCGCGCGCCAGGGAGGGCGGTCCAGCGCCGATCCACGAGATCCACGCGGACCTCCGACACTTCTGTTCACCCCGTGTTTCTTCTTCTTCGAGAGATGGGTATGGAAAAAGTGCGGACGACGATTGAGAGCAGTTCCTGTCCATTCTGAGCAGGACTCGCCGTCGGTGCCGCCGCGGGCGTTTTCCTATGTCTCTTGTGGCCCGTGGAACAGCATGCCAAGGAAGCAGGCCTATGACCCTTACACAGGAGGAGAGACTGAGTTCGCCGATGCAGCTTTCGTACCCACGCCAGAATAGGATAAATTGGTCGACGAGTTTCTCGGAATGCATGTGGCGTCGACGAACCCGTCTCTCGAGAAATATTTCGGCCCTGTCGTTTCCTAAAAAGTGTCAAGTCATCAGTGCGACCGCTGAAATAAGTGCGCACGGATGGGTGCCACTCGTTGGAGAGGACCTTTTTGCGATGGTTTCCTCAGGGAGGCCGCCCTATCGATTTGTTCGGCCGCTGCGACAAAAACCACACAAGACAACCAGTGGCAATACATACCGCCATTGGAACATGATTTTCACAATAAATGGGGCCTCCCCGACTTCGTTCTATGAGTTGAAGAGCAATGGTTCGCAGTCGGAAATCAAGAGCAAAGTGAGTGATCCCCTTGGAGAGATCACGAATCGTTGCTTGCAGAAATCCGTGGCCACTTCGATGGCTGACGGGATAAGCGATCAGTCACAATATGCACAATGGCTCGACTCGGGCGTTTTCGAACACCACGATGAGCAAGGCGATTTTCGCTTTGCTCGCGTATTTTGGAATTCGAGCGATGTTTCTGGCGGCACCGGTCTGCTTGCTTGCGGGAGTCGCGAAGAGGAACTCCGAGTATTTTGCTTCTTTGACAACTCAAGCCCTGAAGGAGGCCATCGCATTCGTGGACGAGGCCGTTGAATGCATTCCCACTGACGTGATACACGTCCTCCATATCGGAGGAGACAACAGATACTAGATCTCTGGAAACGGCGAACTTGAGCTTGGGGAGATGTAGATAGATGTTGCCACTTTGCTTCGAGTCGACATGAACACACGCATCGAACAACATAGGGCTTTGAATTCATGCCCAAAGACTGTCATTCTGGACGGAGCCGCATTGTTTCGATCATTGAGGCACTTCCCAACCGACAGTTACCACTTCCTCGAAGCCGACCTGTCATACAGGCGGCCCGGATTAGTAGGTCGACCCTGCCAGATCAAGGGTACCCTCGTGTCCCGTGTCTTGCGACCCATGCCCCCTGCATCTCCGTGGCAACGTGGCTCTCGGAAGGGGCTCGTGTCCTCTCGCGTGTCCTCTCCAATCAGGTCCGACTGTACGTCGGTGATGGAGAGAACGTTGTGGGAGCATCTGCTATGTCTGCCGGGCGCACTGCGCGGAGCGGTGCGCTCGCAGCGTAACCTTACGGTCGGCCCTGCGGTGGCTCGGCCACTGCGGACGGACGACGTGATCGCAGCGCAGAGTTAGAAGCGGCGCGGACTCACTGTCAGCCCTGATGGACAAAGTGGAGCGTGGAAACGGGTACGATTCCCACCTCGAGCCTCCATTCCAAATGTTTCGCTGACCCGCTAACGGATGAGGAAATTCCGCGGGTTCCGGGCGTTGTGTTCCCCAGAGTCCCAATAGAATTTGAGGAGTTCATTGAGGAGGACGAACCCAGACTCGCTGAGATGAAAGAAATTTTCCACTTCTTGCCGCGCGTTGGTCCATCAGTCATCCCGAGCATGCCCCCGGAAAGGGGCTGCTCCCGATGCCGTGCTTAACCCGCGTCTTTTTTTGATCTCATCGTGACGAACAAGATCGAGTCCATGTGGCTTGACGTAAAGCGAGGTTTAAGGTAGGGCTATATAGCGAACGCCATATATGCTGCAATCTTGGCTCAAGGTTGCGCAGCCCCATTTGCTAGTTTCACGACAGTGCGACTCCTTGGATCAGTGCATCAGACAAAGGGCCACGTCTATCAATGATCCCTCTCTCTATCTCACGTCTTATCTCTCACCTCTCGACTTTCTTGCCATCGAGAGGTGAGTCGTGGGAATCCTCGATACGTCGCCGACGTTAGTCTAAGAGTAGGGCTCTCACCTTATCACCTCGTGGTCAAGCCCCCAACTCTTCATTCGGTAGCGGAGCTGGCTACATCTTTATGTGGCTGGCTCTTCTTGCATCAGGTGTTATGCACATGACAAGTTACCACGACACAGTGGAGTGCCCGATTGCGCCGGCTATCAGCCACTACGCTCCCAGTGTTCTTCAACCAACTGGCAACCTACAGTCCTGCGCCCCCGTCCCCCGCCGCGTGGCCACGCGCCGCGCACAAATTCCCCTGCTGTCTCTGCGCCGCCGCCGCCGTTGTTTCGCTGCCGCGCAACATTGCGCCACATCCGTGCGTCAGGATCAAGGTATTCGGCCGGCGCCGCGGGCGGGCCCAGCGTTCGAGAAAAGGAGCGTGCTTGGTGTCGTTGACGTGTCGTCGCCCTTCTTCCCGTGCTCACGCATCCTATATACCACAGCTTACCGGATTGTTACAGCCGTGCCGCTACGACTCGTTCAGAGCAGTAGTGAGACAAACATAACATCATTTTTGCATCCTACAGTCGCCAGGGATCTTGGTCCCCTAGCAAAGATCTAAATCTTTACCACAACCAGAACCTTATACCTTGCTTGTTTGTGCGTCACAAGTCTCGAGCCGGATCAGTATGTGATAGTCCAGGCCCGACACGGCGAACAAAAACATGGATAAAACAATATGCAACGCCAACAATGAACACCCTCCTCGTGCCCCATCCCGTCCTCGCCACGTGCATGACCCCTCTGCGCCAGCGTTCCACAGCCCCTGCCGAGAGCCCCTCGCCCCGACTCTTGCGATGCCTCCCAGGTCTCTGGCGGTTCGTCCTCCTCGCGGGCGCCCTGCGACGCCGCGCCCGGGGCAGCGTGGCAGCCGCAGGCGCCGCAGCAACCGCAGTCGGCGACGCGGTGGTTGGCGCCGAAGCCGCAAGTGCAGTGGCACTCGCCGCAGCCGCTGGCGCCGAAGTGGCAGGGCGCAGCGGCGGAGCCACAGGCGCAGAGGCCCGTGGAGCCGCGGACGCCCGTGGGGGAGCCGCCGCCGCGGCCGCGTGCCCCCGCGGACCCCTCCCGGAGCGCCTTCGCCTCCGCGCCCGCCGCGTCAACGGGGCCGCCGCTGCCGCCGCCCCCGACGCCGCCAGGTCCTGGCGGCGCGCCTGGGGGCGGCGCCCGACAAAAAAAAACGAGCGGCACAAACAGAAACAGGGGGTGGGCGGGTATTCCCAAGGCGGGGGCATGAGGGAACGAAGCCAGCAGCATGCGCACTTTCTCCTGCCAGGGGCCGTTCACAACGACATTCGTCGAACGCCACCGTGGGCAGTCGGGCGTGCGCAGTTATTGTTTACAGGGGTCATTTCGAGCGACCTCTGCCCCTACCCCACCGTTCCGCCCTCTTCGGAATAATCGGAGTTCCGCCCGAATTTCTTGGGTTGGCGCTGGACCCGCTTGGCGGCATTTTCGGCGCCGCGCTTGGCGCGCTCCGCTCCCCCAGGAGGGGGGGGGCAGCGCTTTTGTAAAAAATCCGCGCGGACTGTCGTGATTAAGCTGATGTTTGCGTAGTTGTCTCTCTCCATGCAGGTCAGAGCGGCGCGTTCGGGGACGGCGCGGGCGCCACCGAACCCTCGTACCAGTGCGCCACCTGCAAGGTGTGGACGCCCTCCTCCATGTTCCCGAAGTGGACCGGGCACAAGAAGTGGCACTGCAAGTTCTGCGTCGCGACGTGGGAGCGGCCCCAGGCGGCCGCGCCCGCGCAGAACGGCCACCACGCGGCCCGGGCCGCCGAGGAGAAGGCCCCCCGTGGCCCGGACCCCGCGGCGGGCCCTCCGCCCAGCGAAGGCGGTCGCCTCGGCGGCCATTCTCGGGAGGAAGCCGCCGCGCTGTCGGATCCAGGGTCGCCGGACCGGCGAACCCGCACCAGCCTCAATGCCTCGGCGCCGCCTTTTGCCCGCCCCGGCGCGGCGGTGGCGCCTCTGGGCGACGACCTGGACTCGCAGATCGTGGGCCGCCTGGCGCTGACCGCCGTCAGCCCCGACGAGCTGGCGCTGCTCGTCCACCAGATTCTGGCGAGGGTCACCGCCGCGGTGCAGGCGCTTGGCCTGCGGGGCGGCGTGGAGGTGTTCGGCTCGCTCGCCACGGGCTTCGGGTCCCCGAAGAAGAGGAAGAAGCACTGGCATAATTGTACATACGCTCTCGGAGCTCCGAGCGGATTTCTTGGATCGGCGCCAGGGCCCAAATGGCTGCGCCTCCGCGCCAGGGGGTGCGCCAAAGGCGCCGCCAGGGGGGTCAGCGCCGATCCAAGAAATCCGCTCGGAGCTCCGAGAGTTTATGATAATGATATGTTATGTTCATGTTCCTCCAGGTCCGTCGGGTCGGACCTGGACATGGCGTACAGCGGCAGCGTCGAGGCCGACGAGTCAGTGACGCTGCTGGAGTACTTCGCCAGCCTGCTGCCAGAGTACGACTTCACCGACATCATCTCGGGATCCCGCAAAGGGTGTGTGTGCCCCAGGGTGTGTGTGTGCGTGTGTGAGAGAGAGGGAGAGAGAGAGAGAGAGAGAGAGAGAGAGTTCGATCGATTTTTGCACCGAACCGCCCAAAGCAGATGCCCCCCAGCCGCAGGCAGCCATTGATAGTTGCCGATGGGTGGGGCATGCGGGGGGCATCTGTTTGCGGCAGTCCGGTGCACCAACGGATCGAACTTATGCCCCCTCTCAGGGTCACCCCCCATTTGGTGGATCTTGATTATCACCGTGTTTCAGTCTTGGGTGCCCCTCGTCAAGTTCACGGACATGCACTCTGGCACAGAGGTGGACTTTTGCATGGGCAACGCCCTCGGCCTGCGCAACTCCCAGTTGCTCGACACGTATTGCCGCTGCGACGAGAGAGCCGCACAGCTTGGGAGACTCGTAAAAGAATGGACGAAGAGCCACGAGCTTGTCGGCAGTGCGGACGGTTGCCTGAACAGCTACGCTTACATTCGAAGAAGCAAAGAAGGCCATAAACGTAAACTTTTGGCGCTCCGCGCGGATTTCTTGGATCCGCGCTGGGCCCCCCCTGGCGGCGCCTCCGGCGCCGCCCCTGGCGCCCTCCGCGCGCCAGGGAGGGTGGTCTGGCGCAGATCCAAGAAATCGAGGCGGATCGCCAAAATTTCAAGTTTATGATGTGTTTTCTTCTCCTATACATTTTGCTGGTCATCCATTTCTTGCAGTCGGTGCAGCCTCCAGTGCTGCCGAATCTTCAGAAGGTTGCTCTCGTTTCCTTCCCCGTGGTTGACACGAAGTGGGGATGCAACGATTGCTGGGAGACGGGATTCCTGGACGACATCAGCGGGCTTGAGCCGTCGCGGAACACGGACAGCATTGGGAAGCTCTTCGCAGGTTTTTTCAGTTTTTTTAGCAAAACGTTCGATTGGGCCAATCATGCGGTGTGCATTCGCTTGAATGAGCCGGGAGCCGCGATCGACAAGTTCTCGTTGAGCTGCCCGACGTCGCAGGAGTGTTGGTACATAGAGGACCCTTTCGATTTGAAGCACAATCTCGGTGGGAAGTGTACGCACCTGGGGCGTGCTCGAATTCTGGACGAGATGCAGCAGGCCAGCGGGCGCCTGGCAGAGCAGCAGTGCAGTCTGGAGCAGGTGTGCCCGTCTGCGAAGCCGGAGAGGTTTTTCCTGAAGTGCCGGGTCACAAGGGGCGTCCCGCTCAGCGAGCTCATCGGTGTGTTCGACGGCTTCGAGGTCGAGGTTGTTCACTACCCGGAGCAGAACCGCCCCGGCAAGCCGCTGCCGGTGTTTCTGGAGTTCGCCTCCGCGGCCGCCAGGCGCCGGGCCCACACCCGGAACGAGGCGCACGTGGGCGGCTGCCAGCTGCAGCTGCTGTCCAGCTCCAAGTTCGCGCTGGCCGAGGCCAAGCTGGAGGGGACCAAGTACACGCCGTACACGGTGAGCGCGGGCCGGGCGTGAGCCATGTCCTGGCCCCTCCTCTCCTTCCGGGAGAACGTTGTCGGTTGCGCGCCCGGGGGGGAAGCGTGAAGGGGCGGGGCTTCTCAGAAGGCTCGGAAGTCCCCCGGCCTTCCGAGCAGTTTCTAAGCCTTCCCCGAAGACGCAGAAGACCTCCCGCCGCCTTTGAGAAGGCCTTCTCGTTCTCGTTCGTTTCCCCCCTCGCTCGCCGCCGACGTTAGGGAGGGGTGCAGGGGTTATAAGGGCGGGATGCATCGACCCCCATTCGCGCACTCATCGCCGACGGGGGGCCCGATAGCCCCCCCGCTCCCCAAGATCGTGCGGATTCTCTGGGCACAACAAAGGACCACAGCCACAGCTAAAGAGATGCTTCGGGAGGGCCCATCGGGGAAGAACCCACCGACCTCGACATGAACACTTTGGTTGTGGTTGTGGTCGATTTGGTCGTCCTGCTGGACACCCACATCGACCACAACCAGTACTAGTCTGGTTTCGATGGTCTGGTGATTGCCGACTTGGGCAAGAAATGCCCCAGGGTACTTCCTCGATGTGGCTGTGGATGCTTGCTTGCTGCCCCCGCAGATTCGCTTTCGGGACCCTAGAGTGCCTTTTTTCAATACATGCTCCGCGTGCGGATCATGTATTAAAGATGCAGAGGTTTTGTGTGAAAAGTAACAATGAGCTCGTGCATAAATTTACTCATGCATTAGTCATGTATTAAGAATCCTACATGTTCAAAAATCCGATGTATTAAAAACTGCCCTGTATCGCAGACCCATCGGCGATGCATCACCGAGTCAAGGTCGATGCGGCGGCGCGCCCAGAGCAGGTTCCCCCAGAGGGCGGCCGGGCGTCTCAGAAGCCCGCTGGCCTCCGGAGAAGCCATCTTTGAAGGGGCCCCAGGACACACGAATAAATGCACACATATCAAAGGATTCCCCATATTTTCCCATATTTTCTGGGTTTCTGTCTCCCCCCCACTTCCCATATTTTCCCACGTTTTCTTGGGAGTCGACGATTCATTGTGTCTGTGTGTTTCTTTCCCTCCTGAAACTTGGGCTCCGGAGAAGGCGTCAGGGCAGCTTCTCAGGAGGCCCGCAAGAAGGCTTCTCTCGGGCCGGACGAAAGGTGGGGATAGGGAAAGGGGGGGTGCGAAATTTGCTGCATGCAGCTGGTCTCGGCCCCGCCGCCGGGCCCATTCCTCGACACACGGGCGCCTCCCGCCGCCGGGAGGCGCCAGGAAAATCAGCCACGTGAGTTGATTCTCAACCCCCCCCCTGTGCCATCCCCCCCCCCTTTCGCCAGGCCCGATGCTCAGAGGGCCGGCAGCCCTCCGCGCCTTTGAGCAGGCGCGCCCTCTCTCTCCCCCTTCCCCCCCCGGGCGCGCCGCCGATCGATGTTCCCCCTCTCCACCCCCCTGAGCTTATCTCAGGAGGGGCACGTAGGCACATGCACAGATCAACGTAGACTCCCAGGAACAGAGGGGAGAACATGTGAGGTGGAGGGGAAGCCGAACATCCAGAAGATGTGGCAAACAATTGGGACTCCTGTGACTTTTAATATGTGCGTCCCTGGGCCCCTTTGCTGTCCCCCGCCTAAGGTTCTCCCTCACCCTCTTTCCTTCCCTGGGCATGCCGCGGGGTCGCGGTTTGATCACCGCGCCCCACGGTTTGGGCCTGGCGTCAGCGCTGTTCTTCTGCCGAGGACCAGCGCGTGAGGCGCCAAGGTAGTCGCGGTTCGCGCGTCGCGGAGTGCGAACTTAGAACGCCTGGTTACTCCTCCTCCTCCTCCCTCCTCCTCCTCCTCCTCCTCCCCCTCCACCTCTTCCTCCTCCTCCTCCTCATCATCCTCATCCTCTTCCTCGTCCGTGTCTCCTTGGCGCGTCCCTTCCTCGGAGGCCCACGCACGATTCAATAGAGGATCGGGGGAGGAAGGTCAGGAGGAGAGAGGAGGAGGAGGAGCAGGAGGAGGAGGAGGAGGAGGAGGAGGAGGAGGAGGAGGAGGAGGAGGAGAGGGAGGAGAGGGAGGAGGAGGAGGAGGAGGAGGAGGAGGAGGAGGAGGAGGAGGAGGGGACTGTAGGACAGAAGGAAGAGGATGGTGGAGGCGGGAAGGGGGAAGGAGGGAGGATACGATGATGGTAGTTGAGTTGGCCACTCACCCATCTTTTGGCTCCGTGGGCTCAGTCCCTTCTCTTGGCTTGAACTCCCACTACCCCATGAGTCCCCTGAGTTATAGTGGCTCCATGTTGGAGAGCGGTCTGTGCTGCTGGTGACTTGAAGGCCGTCATCACAGACAGCAAGTATTCCGTCGGGTCGCTTGAAGTTTCGTGCGCCTGGTCTCGGCCGCTCAGCTATCCTGGGACTCGGGGTGCACTGGTTTGGTGGACAGCCCTGAGCAAACTGTCCCGCGTGCGGAGTTGCTTGCTCTGATCGAATGTATTAGTGTTGTCCGCCGTGACAGTGAGTTTACTATTCGTTCGGACCATGCTGTCCACGTTCGTGCCTATTTGTTGGGCCACTCCCACTGTTCGAAGCTGGATCATGCCGGTTTATGGTATTAGTCTTGAGCGTCAGCTGATTCTCGGACGGCTCCCTTCTCGCGTGGCCACGTCCTTTCCTATCTAGCTCAAGATGAAGTCACACTTGCCAGGTTCGGTGCGTCCGTCCAGGCGGGTGCTCTCTATACCAGCATGTGGTCGGCGGCTTCGCCGAGAAGCGAGCCTCGTACGCCTAGGTGTCGGAGGCGTGCGTGGGTCTCACACAAGCGGTCCCCAAGCAGGCTGAGTCTGTTGTGTTGCGCCATGCTTCTCTCTCGATTGCCACCGCCAGCCCTCCTGAGGGTCCTGGTCGTTTGATTACGCCTGCCAAAGCCCCTTCGGTACATATGAGGGCGGTGGCGGGGCAGAATACTGTGAGTGTCTCTTTCATTCCTGGAGGATTTCCCTTCGGGACTGAAAGTACTCATCGTGTGGCAAGATCATTATCAGGACTCACTGTAAGGTACTGGTTCGGCTTAGGTCGAGTTGTGCTGCTCGGTCACTCCTTGTACTCCTGTCCGCGGCCTAACGCTCGGGCGCGTGTTCGTTCTCTTCGAGGGTTTGGATCATTGTCGCCCTTCGATGAGCAGCTCTTCCGCTTTGCGGAGAGGTCTGGTCCCCCATGTGCGTCTCGAGGGCCTGATTCAGCTTGGCCACATCCTCCAGGCTCTTCGTGTAATATGGCAGAGGGCCGCCTCCGTTCTCTGCGGAGAGTGCGGCAGATGTGCCGAGGGCCCTCCCAGACGTCTGGCCCCAAGAGCGCGAGCGCGTCGCCCGCAGCCGCTCCACGCCCGCTGAGGGCGAGCATGCGGTCCCCATGGGAGTCCCAAAGCAAGGGCGCCCTCGAGGGCGCGAAGCTATTCGCGCTTCGCGCTTCTCGGTTCGGCTCCGATTCCTCCTCGTCCTCTTCTTCTCCCCTGGGAGGCGGCGCGAGAGCGCGAAGTTGTTCGCACTTCGCGCTGAGCGCAGCGCGAAGCGCGAAGTTGGGAGCCCCTTGGGTCAAGGAGTGGGGCCCGCGGCCAGAGCTCTTGGAGCCGAGCTCGGGCTCCTCGCTCTGTCTATGCGTTGGGCTGCCTGGCTCGCCCTGCTTGTAAGCCCGCGAGTTGTCTTTGCGTTTTGCCAGCAACAGTCTCCGGCAACGAATCCCTCCTTCTCCCTCCCCTTCCCTCCTCCCACGTTCTCTCTCGCGCGTGCCCCCCCATCTCCCCCCCCCCTCGCGTCCTCCTGCGTCTTCCCCCGGGGCCCAAGGGGGAGGGGCTGAACAGGGGATCGGGGGGGGAGGGCGAGGGAAGGAACGGGGGGCTGAGGGAGTAAATGAACGAGTCGAGCGAGGGAGAGGAGGAGGATGATACAGGGTGAGCAGGAACATATGAGAGGAAGGAGGGGAGAAGGATTAGGAGGCGGAGCAGGAGGAGGAGGAGGAGGAGGAGAGGAAAGGAGGAAAGGAGGAGCAGGAGGAGGAGCAGGAGGAGGAGGAGGAGGAGGAGGAGGAGGAGGAGGAGGAGGAGGAGGAGGAGGAGGAGGAGAGGAGAAAAGGAGGTTCGCCACCCATAGAGGTAAGAGTCACGGGGAGGGATGATAATGGGAGTGGGGGGCCTGTCAGATGAGAGCGGCTTGTCCCTGCCCGAGGCTGCGCCCCACCTCGGGCGGGTCCAGCCTGCCGGGCCTTCCGCCCCCCGGAGTTTGCCGTCGGCCTCGGGGTCCACGGCTCCGGCCGCTCGGCGGGCCGTGGCTCCGGTCCAGTGATCACCCGTCGACCGAGCGCCTCCGCTCCCTCCCAGGAGCTGAAGCCAAAGGCGAGCAGCACGGACTTCAGCTCGACGCGCAGGGCATCCGCAGCCTGCCCGGCCTCCGCTGCCTTCTGAGCCTCCTCGGCCTCCTTGGCGTCCGCGGCCTTCCTGGCCTCTTCCGCCCTCTTGGCCTCCTCCGCCTCCCTGGCCTCCTCTGCCCTCTTGACCTCCTCCGCCGCGAAAGCCCTGGCCGCCTCAACCTTCGTGGCTTTTGGGACCTTCATGGCCGCCTCCACTTTCTCGGCCTTCTCTACTTTCTCAGCCTCACGGGTTGTTCCGAAAACGGAACAACTTCTTTTGAGGAGGAGCAGCGGACACAGCAGGATGATGCCAACCCCGGCGACGCCACAGTGAAGCATAGTGAAGCCATTGGTCCACCTCCAACGCTGTGCGCACGAGTGAGGCAGGCAAAGCAAAGAAAAAAACGGAACAACCCTCAGCGCCCTGGGAACCGCCGCAGCCCAAACACGGGGCCTCCCAGAAGTGTTTCGAGAAACGGCCCTTTGTCTCAGCCGTCGGGGCCGACAGGGCATGATGGGGGAGAAAGACAGGGCGAAAACCTTCCACATCTTTTTTCCTTATTGTGTACGCCGACCCACCAGGGATCTTCTTCGGACCCTTACACGTGCCTGTGAGACCTCTCTGCATGGGGGTGGTCGTATACTGCCAGCACGATG